CATGTGGCTTGCGGTGTGTTTTTTTTCTTGCTTGGCAATGAGTAAGCGAGAGATAGAGTGAAAAGTGGCACAAAAATTACAAAAGACAAAAAAAAAAAAAAAAGTGCGTAGAGCAGTGGAGCGCCGCCGCCATGTGTAATGTGCGGATGCTTGCATGCGGCAAATGAGATTTCAGGAGGTTCCCGAATGTTCATTAAGAGAAAAGCTAAGTACAAAATTTGTTTGTAATTCATTTAATACGTTGAAGGCCAGTCGTAGTACTGGAACGTGCAAAATGTGTAGTGTATAAAAATTTAAAATCTTTCGATGGAGCCCAAAAAAAAAAAAAAAAAAAAAAAAAAAAATTATTTCTCGAGTTTGTTTGTTGAGTTTCATTTTGGTGTCATTGGTGTCATTAGTGTCATTTTGCCAACTACAATTACTGTCGGTGCTGCTATACAGCATTTTCATTATTATTATTGGACGGACACAAATATTGTCGTTTTTAGTGATTGTAATTAGGCATCAAGAACTAAACGTAACATATTTTACAGGACAGAAAGATGGTGTGCTAATTTATAGATGTTTTCATTTGATTTGCAGTACATAGAGGGAAGAAGAATGGGTAATGTTGACTTATTTTCTAGAAATCTCTCATGCATTAGTAAGTATCATATGGCTGAACAGCGCAGAGATTCTGACGGAATTCATTTTGTGAATAAGTTGCAATTCTTTGGCCGAGGCTCGATCCTTGCTTTGATTCCCAGGGGTTAAATGTTAATGTCAATCAGCTTTTTGTATTTCACTTGTAATTTATTTTGGTAAATGAGTAAAGAAAGTCTTAAAGGGTGAGGACAGTTGAGAAGAAAGAAATGAAGGCGTTGAAAGAGACGTCAGTAGTGAGTAGGAAGAGTAGTGGAACGTAACATGTGAGACACACTGTGGACATCAGACACTATACCTCAGAGTCTTAATGATAAACATGTCATTGGTTTGCTAGCGCTGTTAGGAACACGAGTTAATGTGTTATCCTATCGACTCGCTGGTAGTCACTGACAGTAGGATTTTAGGTAAGCTGTTGTCCTGATGACCTAAGTAATCTTCATGTAATAGTAGTCAGCTAGTAAAATGCCTTTGCTATAATTATTTTATGTTGGAAACTCTGTCAATGAAATGACTTAGTTTGCCTTGTTCATTTATACTTTGTACTCACGAGGACGTGTAAATGTCAGAATGGCCGTAGTGAGATTTGTTTCAAAAAAAAAAATAAACAAACAAAAAAAAAAAAGGTTTTTAAAGCAAATGTACAAGTTAAAAGTATTATGCTCTTTTGTTTTGAAAGATCTCTCTGTGTTTTTAAAAAATTAAGAAAGCTTTCGAACAAAGTTAAATTTAAAGTTTAGAGGACAGTTGTAAGCATCTGAATTGTTAGAAAATTAATAATAGGAACAAATAGTTAAATAATAGAAAATACAATCATACTCATGATGATATGAGGAAGTTGCCAGATGGAGTGGAAGTATGTCAGTTGAATCCGGAATGTTGTGATGATCATATGAATGATATTGAAAGTGAAACTGTTGGAAGAGACAGTAATGTATTGAGAAACTGTTGCAAGAGACAGTAAGGTATTGAGAAACTGTTGCAAGAGACAGTAAGGTATTGAGAAACTGTTGAAAAAGACAGTGAGAATAAAAAGGTTGAGAATGTTGAAGTCACTAAAGAAAGTGAAGGAGAGTGAAGTCACTAAAGAGAGTGAAGAGTACGGCTGGCCAAAGAAAATGGCAGAGTACTTGATTATATAATAATGCAAGCACAAGTGCAAAATGTACTGAAGTAGTTTTGATCATGGCGTGTGGGGCATTTGATTATATAATGTTGATTATATAATAATGCAAGCACAAGTGCAAAACGTACTGATGTAGTTTTGATCATGGCGTGTGGGGCATTTGATTATATAATGTTGAATGAAATGGAGTAAATAATGTTTAAAGAAGAATGCTAACAAAACTACTCATCAAAGAAATATAAATGGTGATAATGAATGGAGATTATAATTGTGTTAAGGTGTTTTGGTAATACATGGAGGCTGATGCTTTGTATGAATTGTATGGAAGTGTATTGTTGTAATGATGGGTTGATACGAGTTGACAGGTTACATGAAGGGAGGATCGATTTTGTAAGGAATGATGTGTATCGTTTGGTTGGAAAAGGAAATATGAAGAAACAAGAAAAGAAAAGAAAGACTTAAATGTTATTATTTCACACACGAGGGCGTGTTAGAGTCAGGATGGCCGTGTCGAAGCAAGTAGTATTAATATGTTGGCGAGCACTATAATTGCGCTTACTACCTACTCGCATATTTTCCCTTTTCTGTATGCCTTCGCACTTATGCGTGTAGTTGTAGTGTCGGTGTGTAATGAGGTTGTATGTGTGTGGTTGTAGTTTTCGGCTATTTTCCAAGAATGGATTTCATCATATTGCATCAGCCAATATTTGTATTTTGTCGCTTAAGAAGTACCGTCTTAGCGGGGCGACAGCGTTGTGTCGCTGTCGCCGAGTGAGGTTCGATGGTAGGCACAAAGAATAATTGAGAGACACAAGTTAGTTGCGTCCAGAATTCAAGTGCGGTCGAAACTCGCTGCGCGAAACGATGACTGATAAAAATACTGTTCCGACACATACATTAAAAATTTGGAGACTCTAGCAATTAAGGTGTAGAAAATATAATTTTATAACTGGTTTTCGATAAGGTTTTTATCGATAAAAAAAAGATCGGGATGAGTTCTCGATTTTTTAAGCAAAACTCGATGTGCGCGTGGTATACACGGTCATTTTACAAAATTTACAATTTACAAAATTGAGGTCTCTAGCTCTTGTAACTTCTGAAATCGACGCGTTCAAACATACTGACTGACGGACAGGGCCAAATCAATTCAGCTCGTCGCCCTGATCAAGATCTACCATTGAAAATTGGCTTCTGGTTTTAATAATAATTATTATATTAGTAAAATTAAAATTAATCAGTAACAGAGCTTGAACTGAATGAAATTTCCGGGCAGTGTCAAAGTGTTGCCCACATTTCCGGGAAATCCTTCAGAATACGCGTCGTGGGTAAACAGGGTCGAGTCCGTACTCGAGGATTATTCTATTATCAAGGAGAGACATCTACATATATCGCTCAATAATTTTACATATACGAGGAAAAATAATAGGAAATGCCGATATCTCACTTTCATCATACAGTGTACAAAATGATGATTGGCCTGAAATGAAGCGAGTTTTGCGATTGCATTACGCCGACAAAAGGGATGTTCGCACCTTGGAATACGAATTGAATTAAATGATTCAAGGCAACAGCGACATGGAAACCTTCTATAAGCAAGTTAATAGTCAGTTTTCTTTAATTTTACAGGCCTTGAAAGCATTGATCGTATAGGGATAGAGCCCTAGATGTTTTCATAAGGGGACTAAACGGTGACTTACCGAGGTTGTTAACAGTTAGCCAGACAAAAAATTTACCGGAAGCTTAAGCAATTTGCGTGAATTTACAGAATATTTCATTAAAAAATAACGGTGTACAAAGGGCATATGTGCCTCGTGGAATTAAACCTCAACCCAGGGGTACCGATAATAATGCTTATGAACAAACAACGTTCGTGGCTACTCATCCTCAAGTCAGGGGTTTAGCAACTGCATTGAATGGTCCAAGGCAAATTTTTCAAAGTAAGCGACCGTTAAATACACCAAGTAATTCGGCTTCACCGTTCAAATCTGGATAATATTAAAAGAGATGGAGCAGTCAAACAAGGCCTGAATGAGGCAATAAATCTATTCTCTAAAATACAACGAGTGTAACATATGGGCCCAGTCAACAGAAGTTGAGATTGGAGATGCTGGTACAGTTTATTATGTGCACAACATGGAGGCTTGTGGAAACAGTCTTCAATCTGGTGAAGCATTTGAACAAGAAGAAGTCCTGACAAGTAATGGCATAAGTCAAGTAAATTTTATGACAGAAGCCTCTCCAGCGTCCCATATATAAATTATGGCACAAAGGATGGAGCCGGTCTACAGTTTCTAATTGATACAGGAACAAACAAAAATTTCATCAGTTCTACAATAGCCAGTGGAAACATTCTTATCACACATGAAGTTACTGGTCTGTTCTTTGCCTTCGTGGGGAATAATATCCCAATCACGTTATATAAGTTAAGCGCTCCCATACTAGAGTACTAGTGATTGGGGGACGCTGTGTTGGGTTCTTGTGAATATATAACAACTTTGTGTTCAATGAAATAATATATTTTATATAATTTGGAACAATAGGTCTAAACTCTCTCTAGTCCGAATATAAACTCAACTAAATCTGTTGAACTGGTTAGGTTCTCCCCTTGAATGTCTGACTGGACTCTCCAGCCTCCTTAGATTGTCGAAAGTCTTAACTCTTCCCCATCTAAATATCTGCGTCCCGCAGATCAGGGTGCATATGTCCATTATAACGATATTCATCCAATATAAATTGTCCAATATAATGATAATTATCCTATATAAATATATATAAATTGCCCAATATAATGATATTTATCCAATATAAATTTATTATCCATAGTCGATAGTTCCAGAGTCCATAAATTAGCATAAAGAGGGCCATCGATATCCACCTTCAAGTTAATTCAAAGCATTCATAGTTCCATACATTAGTAGTATTCATTTCTGGTTATGACAATACATCCAACATTGTAAGCGCATTTATTTCATTGCCTCTGGCATCTCGGAAATCCCTATTACCATGAATGATCGAAACTAGGATGGATATACCACGTGTAAAATGCTGTGGATGCTATGGGTGCTAAGGAAGTTAAGGAAGCTTAAAGAAGATTATTGCAATATAATTAAATGTGCTATGGGTGCTAGGAAGTCAAGAAAGTTAAAAGAGGATTATTACAATATAATTAAATGTGCATTTTCCTTTTTTTTTCCTATTTTCTTAAGTCTGATTTATGAAGAATTTTTCCAGTTTGATAATCATTAATTCCACGAGACATATATGTCCCTTGTACACCATTACTTCTTAATGAAATATTCTGTAAATTCACACAAATGGCATAAGCTTCCGGTAAATTTTTAGGTTTGCTAACTGTTGACATCCTCGGTCACCGTTTAGTCCCCTTATGAAAACATCTAAAGCTCTATCTCTATATGATTGTATTAATGCGGACAATACTACGACTCATTGTTCGCTTGCCTTTAAGGCAGTGAAACATCGGCATTTCCAATTACTTTTCCTCGTATCTGTAAAATGATTAAGCGATATAGAGGTCTTTCCTTGATAATAGAATAATCTTCAAGTATGGACTCGATCCTGTTTACCCACGAGGCTTATTGTGAAGGGTTTCCCTCAAATGTGGGCAACACTTTAACACAATCCGGCAATGACGAAATTTCATTTAATTCAAGCTCCGAACGTGGACGGGCTAGTGAGGTTTGTTCCTCTATGAGAGACTGATTAGTATCCTCCTTTTCCAAACGATCCACTTTCCTATTCAATTGCTTCAAATCTTCCTTAAGACTCGAAAATTGATCGGCTAACACAGTTATTGCCGCGCTCAGCCCTTGCAACGTTCCGAACTAAATTATTTCAATGTCGGAAAACTTACTTACTATTCAATTCGATGCCTACTATGTTATCGATCTAATTTTCTACATTAAATCAGCTTTTCATTGTTTCCAAGCTGCTGCTATTTACCGTTTCCAGTGGAGATAAGAAAATATAAATAATCGTCTCGTAGAATTGCTTTCTGTGGAGATAAATATATTAGTAATGCTCTCACATGGTCGTAACACCTTTTTTAAATAGTTGACGTGAATATTATTTCTTTTATATTATTTCATTGAATTACTAATTGTATTGAATTACGTGTGTGTATTACCACGTGTGTTATTGCGTTGTCTGTTATAGAATTACTGAATTACCAATTACTAGTTGTATTATCTTTTGTTACCGAACCGGCAAACAGTTTTTATTATTTTATATGGCTTGGGAAGCCCTCAGGATCCTTTTTGGTGTAAGACCTACTTAGGTGAGGGTGGTTCCACAATCATCTGGTCTCTCTCTTGCTTTCGTTTCATTTACTTATTTATTTTACTTTTTTCTTTTATATATTGTTGCCAGACTTATTCTCTTCCGAAAGGGAAGCCCAAAGTATTCCTCTTTGGTTCTAAGACCTACTAGGGTAAGGGTTATTCCACGATCGAATAGAAGGTCTCTGCAATTCATGTTTTTATTTTTGCATATTTATGCTTTGCTTGTTGATTAGAGATTTCCAGACAACCGCCTTTTAATTTTGTTATATAGTTAGTGCTTTAAACTTAACTTTGACCACTAGGTTTCTTTTAATTTATACGGAAACCCATCATTCAACACAGGTGGAAATTGTGACGTTTATTTTTTATGACATTTGTCTTACGGCAAGGATTTGAACCTCGATACGAGAATCAATCTCGTACCACCATTATGCCTGCAAATTTCTTGTATTTTCGTTTTAAGACTCGTCTCGGCACGGATTTGAACCTAGGTATTACCAATACCACCATTTAGCCACGATTTCTTTTATGTTATAGAATTATCTAGTGCACCAACACTTGCTAGAAATTATGTTATTATTTATTGTATTATGTTATGGCAAGGACTTTCACCTCATTACTTTGCAAATCGCAGAAGTACTTCGTAATTTTGCCAATAAATGCCCAATTGGATTGGAAAAATTTATTTGTACTTGCTTTTTTAATAAGGTATTTTTATAGAATTATTGACACGTCACCATTTCCCTTTACTTCCGTGAAGAATTCAGGTCCCTGCTCGGGCGCCAGTTAAGCGCTCCCATACTAGAGTACTAGTGATTGGGGGACGCTGTGTTGGGTTCTTGTGAATATATAACAACTTTGTGTTCAATGAAATAATATATCTATATATATAAAAGAGAGTTGTGTAAAAGTGTCCAAACACTTATAACTTGATATGTGCTGGACCAATTTTCATGGTTTTTGATTTGTTGGATTTGTCTCCGCCACGAGTAGGTCAGTAGATCTTTAAAATACTGAAAAAATTTGACGAATACTTGAAAAACGCGGGTTTTTCCCTAAAGATTCAAATTTCCATTTATACTCAGTAGCCTTGACAACAGTGACAGTTTCGGTCCTGTATAGAAGTAAATAAACAAATGTAGTCAGTCAGTCTACGGAACAGCCTCGAGCAGACCTGACTATTCAACAAAAAAAAAAAAAAAAAAAAAACTATTCAACAAAAAAAAAAAAACTATTCAAAAAACAAAAAAAAATCAACAAAAAAAAATGTTTTTTTCCAAATCAAAAAGAAAAATATTTCAAATCAAAAATCTGCAAAAATTCAAAAAAATCAAAAGATTAAAACCTGACTGTTCAAAAAATAAATAAAAAATTCAAAATTCGAAATTAAAAAAAAAAAAAAAAAAATTATTAAAAAGTGTATTTTTGGCTTTTTATATTTTTGGACTTTTAAACTTTATAAATAATAATTGTGCGCGTGCGTACAAAAGCTAAATATCTCGAAAGTTCAGGTATTTGTTTGTCTCAAACATAAATTTGTGTAAATTATTTATATTTATATTTCTCGATTGTTTTATATGGTTTTGTGCGAGGGCAGTATTACTATTAATAAAAATGCCGCGTCCTAGAAGATCTAATCTTTCCCGGCGGACCCATAATGCAATTAGGCATCGGAATATCGCGAGTCAATTATCTGACGAAGAACGAGAAATCATCCGAGAAAGGCGCCGCCGGCGTTAGTACCCAGCAAAGAAGGGCCTTAATTCGTGCTTCTCAAAGAGAGGCAGCCCGTGAAATGGCAATAAGAAAATAAGCTTGAATCGTTTAGTTTGCATTGGTCCAATGGATGTTGTTTGCAAAACACTAGAATCACGACATTTTCTAGCGAACACTCAAAAATACAATGCCTGTTTCCAAATGACTTCATTTGGGGCAGAAATTATTGGAGACGGATATAATCCGACATTTAAGGTAATTTACGTTAAAAATTTAATTTTCTATGACTGTCAAAAAAAAAAAAAAAAAAAAATGGAATAATGTAGTTTGTTATTTCTGTAAAAAGTGTTTGTAAATCTAACTATAACTATGGCTTTGAATTTAAAGATTCAAGGCCAGATTTGCCATCGCATTGGATCATTGCAACCTATTGAAGATGCACAGCACAAATTCTTGCAAATATACTTCATGGGCAATATGGAAGAACAACTTGACCGGCGTCAAGAAATCAACACAGCTATGAAAAGAGCAATTCTCCAAGATTTAAACCAACCAAAACTGTGCAATGGAACGCGTTTGGTGATAAGAAAACTGATGAGCAATGTGATTCACGTGTCGATACTCAAAGGAAAATTTAAAGATGAGGAAGTTCTTATTCCTAGGATTCCGATGATCTCAACAGATATGCCCTTTGAATTTGAACGAATTCAATTCCCGCTTCGTCTTGCCTTCGCCATGACGATCAACAAGTCACAGGGCCAATCTTTGACTATTTGTGGCCTCAATCTGGAAAATGCGTGTTTTTCTCATGGTCAATTGTACGTGGCATGCTCACGTGTTGGCAAACCATCCGCATTATTTGTTCTTGCACCCGACCAAAAAACGAAGAATGTCGTTTACCACAAGGTGCTTGAGTGAAAATCCGATTAATAAATAAATCAGAGTGTATCCCAACCTGAACAACATAGCTTTAAAAAATTTTTTACCTAGAAATAATATAGAGGGCAATGCAACGTTTGCCGGGCCAGCTAGTTTTATATAATTTGGAACAATAGGTCTAAACTCTCTCTAGTCCGAATATAAAATCAACTAAATCTGTTCAACTGGTTAGGTTCTCCCCTTGAATGTCTGACTGGACTCTCCAGCCTCCTTAGATTGTCGAAAGTCTTAACTTATATGTCGGAATGATATTATGAGAAATGAATTACACAGGGACGTGTAACTGTCAGTATGGCCGTGTCGTGTTAGTGCGATATTACACTGTTGAAATTGCAATTAGATATCTTGATATCGTGTTAATCGATTGATTTAGTATTGTGGTGCAATTAAAGGATGCACTCTCCCTAATAGAGAGACAACAATAGCTGTTGCTGAACGTAGTCCCGGGTGTCGCTGGGTGAGACGGCTAGTCATGCCGTTCGCAGCAGGGTCGCTGTGCTTTCGATGAACAAGAATATGCGACCATGATTAGAACTTTCGAGAGTAGAAGAGAAGACACTTGGTCAATGACTATTGAACGAGAAAGAGCATTAAAAAGAGTTTAGCGACACACCGGGAATTCGTTATTACGCGCAGCTATGATGGAAAACCAGAATGATAAATGCAACGCCCCGACATCAGAAGTGGTACGATTTTGGGCCTACAAAACCGAATTTGTCAAGACTATCAATACGTGAAGTGAGCAGCAGAAACGTGGCGTCATTCTACGAAAATTTAACGCTGACGTGGCAGACGTTGATGCTGAAAATTGATGTCCGACTGTAACTGAAATATGTGTGATAGATGAATCGAAGATAAGTAATAAGTATACTGATCCGAGGTGAGAGCTTTCCAATTATCTTTGATTCTGGTGTATTATTCCTTGGCTAAAGATAGCTTTGCACAAAAGGCTATATGAAACAAGTGAGAGTACTCGGTCGACTCTGTTCGACTGGTTAATGCCCTTGGCTCCTTGGACTGTTGCTCTGGTTATTCTGCGCATTTGTACGGTGGCGCATGCACGCGCTGTGCTGGCTGCGCTGTGCGCGGCGGCTGCGCTTGGGCTGCGCTGCGTTGAGACCGGTGTTGTGAGGGTTTTGTTTGTTGTATGGTTTCTCTTGTGGTGGGACTGTTTCTGTGGGAATTTCAGAGCGTGATCGTGGTGCTCAGATGTGTGTGTTCCGAGGCGCGGATCTCTAGTGCATTTTTGGTGGTAGAAGTTCTAATATTTGATAAAGTCGCTTAAAGATAATCGAATGTATAAGTATTGCCATGAAAATGTTCGAATGCCAAATGGTTCATGTAGATTTTCTGTCCCGCAGAAGTCAAAATTATTATAAATGTAGAAGAAGTTCGTGTTGATTTAGCAGAAAATTACAGATAATTGGCTATTGGCGGAGCAACAACGCGATATGAACATGATAGACATAGTCAAACAATCAGACGCTGGGAACTCAAAACGATGTTTTAAGAAAATATGAAATTTACCGGGTTGCTATTATTCTGCGAAATGGTAAGACACGTGTGCCTGTAATATCGCACTGACACGACACGGCCATACTGACAGTTACACGTCCCTGTGTAATTCATTTCTCATAATATCATTCCGACACGGCCATACTGACCCTTACACGTCTCTGTGTAATTGTTGTATCATAGTATCATTCCGACATATATACTCACAGGGCTACAAAGTTTTGATGGTATCATAGGTGATGATACCCTGAAAACCCTGAAAGCTATAATTAATAGAGGACGGAAAGAACTTATCATTGCACCAGGCATAAAAATACCTCTCGTTGAAAAACAATCATTAAATGTCAATACATTACTTGACACTGAACACTCTGAAGATATCAAACAATGATAAAATCAATAATAACGAATACTCGGATATCTTTGGACTACTTTCAACCGAAAGGGACCACTTTCAAGAACCAATATATTCAAAAATCTACCCATACCCCACTAGTATGCGAGAGGAGGTAGAAAGGCAAATTGGGGATCTCTTAAAAAATGGTATTATCAAACTATCAAAAAGCTCTTATAATTATCCTATTTGAATAGTTAAAAAAAACAAAAACAGTATCGGATGGTGATAGACTTCAAGTGTCTTAATGTGGTGACTATCGCAGACACTCACCCAATACCTGATATCACTGCTACCTTGGCTAGCCTAGGAACATCCAAATTTTTTACAACACCCGACTTAACTTCGGTCTTTCACCAGATACTTATGAAAGAATCGGACATGGCCAAGACGACGTTTTCAACACTGAATGGAAAATACGAATTCCTTCGTCTTCCTTTTGGATTAACAAAACACCCCCGCAATTTTTCAAAGGATGATTGACGACGTATATATTGGTCAAATATTGGTCAAATCTGTTACGTTTATATGATATTATAATCTTCAGCAAGGATTATGAAACACATTGGCGAAACCTCAGAGCTATTTTTACGAGACTTGGGGAAATAAAACTTCAAAAAAATCTGGAAAAGACGCAGTTCCTATGCTCGCAGGTAGAGTTCCTTAACTACATCGTGTGTGCTGACGGTATAAAGCCCAATAAAAACAAGTAAGAAAGCTGTAGTCGAGACTGCTCGACTACGAGATCACCTGAACCCTTCGAGCAACTAATATTTCAATAATTATTCGCACATGCACACGCACAGCCACAGCATTTCAATAATTATTCGCACACGCACGCAATAACACGCATTGGCTGCAGTGTGGGCATACTATGGGAACTTAACTAACTTTTCTTGTGGATGGACTATCTGTGAAATGACTATCATGAAACTTTCAGATTATGAATATTACATGGATATGCATATATTTGCCAATGCACAAGTCTCTCTTTTTCTACTCATTCACGAAAGTGAATCATTATACTCATTCACGAAAGTGAATCAGTATATTGGTTTTGTGCAATGTCCGTCTTGCTGTCCGTCCGTCCGTCTGTCCATCTGTCCGTATGAACGCAATCTATTTCGGCGCTATTGAAGCTAGAGACTTGAAATTTGAAACACATACTCGTGTATACTCCGATTTATAAAGTATTAAAATTTTCCCGATCCCCCCACTAGGGGCGTGGCAAATCGGAAAATGCATTTTCCGATATACCAGAAATCATGA